CTGCGAGCGGGCCCGCAGGGGCTACCTCTACCGGCAGCTGTGCTGCGTAGGTGGGTGCGGTGGCGTGGCCGGTGGCACCGAAGGGGCCACCGTCGCCCTCACCTAGTGGGGCTTGGTCTCTGCTGGGAACCGCCGCCCGGCCTGGGATGGGGGTGGTGCCCTGGCCAGGTGCAGCCTTGCCCCCTGAGCTCCGGAAACACCTGGGGAGGAAGGCGGGGTGATGTTCCCCTGCCCCCATTTGTCTGTCTCTAGAGAAGGGGCTGGAGGGGGCGGGGCTGGCGTACTCCCAGCTGCTTCGCGTCAGCCTGGGCTTTGGCCCGGGTTTCCAGGACACGGGGGAGGGAGGAGGTGCTGAAGGCGGGGCTCCGGGCCTTCTGTGGACTTGCTGCAGTCCTGGGCCAGTGGGATTCCCCTCCCAGTCTTGGGGTTTCCGTCCTAGGACTGTCTCCACTAGCTGCGGGACCTCAGCCATAGCATCCACACCTATAAAACGGGGGGCGATACTCCTCAGAGGGCCATGGCAGTGCCTGTCGTGAGGGACCCTGGGCTGGCGGCCGAGGGTCAGCTGCCCTGGACAGCACAGGTGCCAGGCAGGTGTGCAGAGGCACCTGAGCTGGGGCTGTTCTGGGTACGTCCCAGGTGGGAGAGCCAGCTGAGCCGCAGCTGTAGAGGGTGGGTGTGGCTTGGCTGGGTAGGGCAGTGGGGAGGGGGTGAGGTTGGTTTTAGGGTCAGAATAGGAGGAATGGGGCATCCATGGTAGGGATCAAAGGGGCAGGCTGGGCTGGGAGGGAGGGGAGGTGATGAGGAGGGAAGAGCTCAGAGCAAAGAGGTGCCCAGAGGCAGGAAGTGGGAAAGGGGAACTTGAGCCAGGCTTGGGAGGTGGAGGCCCCTGACTGAGCCCCCAGCACACCCAGCCCCAGCCCTGCCCTGCCCCAGCCCTTCTCCCCACCCTGCCCCTTCCCTTCTCTGAGCCCCTGCCCCATTCCTGTCCCTGGCCCCGCCCAGGGCGGCATCTTTGGAGGCCTGTTAGTGGCAGGGAGAAGGCTGGAACAGGGGCCTGACTAGGGTGGGGCCCACGTGAGTCCTGGACCTTGGCCCCAGCTCCCGGTTTCCAGCTGTCCTGGACTCCCTGTGCCCACCTCCCTGGCTGTTCCGGGATCTCACGCTGTGCCCTTCAGCAGAGTGGCAGCCGTGTTCCCGCAGGCAGGAGCCACCTGGTCACGGCCGGGACCCCAGAGCCCCACGCCCAGCAGGCGCGGTGCTTGGCCTCAGGAGAGCTGCTGGGCCCCGGGCTTCTGAAGAGGCAAACAGTGTTTCCAGAGGCTTTGCACCCGGGGACGGGTGGCAGAGGTGTGAGGTGCGGGGTGCCCTCGGGCACACGACCGGAGGCGCTGACCAGTACGGGGTCAGGTTTTGGTTTGGGGGCTTCTGTGACTCCTGAGGTCCTGGAGGCTGCTGGGCCAGACAGGCAGAGCAAGAGGGTCACCCCGAATCTCACGCCAGGCTCAGAGTCGATGCGTGGAGACCAAGGGGTGTCTTTGTGGGGCGGGGTGTAAGACGTGGCAGAGCCCTGGGGACTGACCGTGCCCCTTGGCGTGGGGTGGGGGCTTCCTCACCTCTGAGGGGTTTGGGCACCCCCCATTGTGAGGGTTCTGGCACCCCCTCACGGCCTCACGGGCAGTAGGAATGGGGTGGGGTGAGCTCTTCCCAGAACCGACGGCTGAGTGCAGCTCCCAGCTGGACCGAGTCTGCCTGATGTACGGCTGGAACATTCTTGTGGTTGGGGCAGCGCATTCTTTCCTATGGTGGTCGGGTGGGCTGGCCAGGCCCAGAAGCTGGCCAGAGGCAGCTCCGCCCCAGACCCCAGGGAGTCAGAGGCCTCAACCAGCGCAGGCCCTTTGCCCTTTGCCCTTTACAGCAGGAGGCTGCTTCCCTTGGGCCCCACCCAGCTGCAAACAGCACCCCCCACCCTGGGGTCGCCCAGGTCCTGCCTCAGGTGTGGCTTCCCCTCCGTGAGTCACAGGCCTGGGCCCCCTCCCCGTCCCTGACTCACTGGCAGGGCCCCTCCTGGGGCTTCCCGATGCTCCATCCCCCCACAAGGCCCAGCCTCCGTGAGTCAGCCCTCAGCTACGAGCCTCCGGCCTAAGGTGTCCTCCTGGGCCAGGGTGGGCTCTGCAGGTGGGCGCTGCTCCAGGATGTGCCAGATGGGCAGCTTGGGAGGGGCTAGGACTGGCATGGGACCCCACTGGCCCCGGAGCAGTAGCCTGGCCTGGGGCAGGGCAGGCACCATGGGGTATGGTGTGCTCCCCACTTCATGCAGGTCTGTGAGGAAGTGTGACTGGGGGGCTGCAAGAGCTGACGGGCAGCAGGCCCCCTCCCCTAGCCAGGTGTCAGCGGCTTCCCGAGTCCTCCCGGCAGGGTGGGTGGGCAGAGGCTGAAGTAGGGCCTGGCCCGGGCCTGGAGGGAGCTTCAAAGAGAGGCGTGGCCTCAGAGCCCCTCCCACTGGGGGAGCCCTTCAGTCTGTTGGGGGGTCCTTCTGGGTGGCCGTGGGGATGGCCTGTGTTCCTTTGTGGTCCTGGCAGCATCTGGTGTGCAGTGAAGTGCCAGCTCCCCCTGTGTCCCCAGGTCCCCTTAGGGGACTGCATTGGGCAGGATGGGTGAGGAAACCCCGGTTTCCTGTTTCTGGCGGGCCGAGGGCGTGTCTGTGGGGGAGGGGGCTCCTTGCTCCTTCCCGCCGGGACACTCCCCTCCCTGGCGGCCTGGGCGGGGTGGGGCCTCGGGGGCGGGCCTGCCTCGCCGGGGAGTACAGCAGGCAGGGAGTGGCCACATCGACTGGGGCTCTGAGCTGAGCTTGTGCCCCTGTGCCGAGTGAGCGTCTCGTGGGGCCACCAGCCTTCAGCTGCCTGTGTGCCACGCGGGGCTGACCAGAGCACTGTGCTGAGGCTGAGCGTCTGGGCGACGAAGGTGTGGGGGCAGCATGTCTCAGCACCAGCTCCGCGTGCCGGAGCCCCAGGGCCTGGGCCGAAAGAGAACCAGCTCGGAGGACAACCTGTACCTGGCTGTGCTCAGGGCCTCTGAGGGCAAGAAAGGTAGCAGGGCTCCCCTTGGGCACCTCCGCCAGGCAGGGCGGGCCCCTGTGGGAGGAAGGCCCACATCCTGTGGCAGGAAGCCTTGGCACCGGGTGGGGGGCTGGTCTTGGAGATGGGGGGTCGGGGGACAGCCATCCCCACCCAACACAGAGTGGGCCAACAGGAGCCCGCAAGGCTGATGGGGGCCTCTGAGCATCAAGTGTCAGGCCTGGACGGGTGAGGAACTCTGCACTCTGGGGAAGGTTTGCTGCTCTGTCAGCAGCACAACAGCTTCCCTTCCAACACCCCAGCGGGCCCTGGCCCTGGCCCTGCCACACCCCTGCTTGGGTCTCAGTCTGTAGGGGGCGGCAGGAGTGCAGGACGGGACATGTGTGCCCTGGGCTCAGGGTGCGGTCCAGGACCCTCCCATTTCCTCGGGGGAAGAGTTGGGTGGGGTGGTGCACCTGGCGGCACCTGGGCCCCTGGCACCTGGGTCTCTGCTGTCCTGGCTGGGCTGTGGGTGAGGGCGCCTGGGTCTCTGTGTGATCTGAGGGAGGCTTTGGGGCTCCCCAGGCGGGACCTGGCCAGCCAGGCTGCCGTGTCTGCATGGTGGTCACCGGAGGGCCCCCGGGGCTTCTCCCAGGCCCCAGGTAAACTGGTCTTGTCTCCCCCAGATGAGCGGGATCGTGTGCAGAAGAAAACCTTCACCAAGTGGGTCAACAAGCACCTCATCAAGGTTGGTGGTGCATGCTCGTGCGTGTCACAGGGGCCGAGGCTGCAGGAGCCGCCGAGGGAGGGTGGCCCCCGCCGCCTACGGCTGTCCCCATGCTGCCTGTGCACTCACCTTTCATCTCTGAAACCTGTTATTTTCTGTCCTTTTTCTTCCCTACGCCTGCTCCTGTCTCTCTCTTCCTCCTCTTCCTTCTGGTTTTTCCTGGTCTCTTCTTGCAGCACTGGAGGGCAGAGGTAGGTGCCTCCACGGGGCAGGGGTGTGTTCTGTGGGCTCCTGGGGGACTCAGCCCCCGCCTCCTTCCCTCTGGTACTGGCACCCACTCGGTGGATCAGCCTCCCAGGGACTGTTGGTGGCTCTGGGGGACTGGCCACCTCAGCTGCTGCTGTCCCCACAGGCCCAGAGGCACATCAGTGACTTGTATGAAGACCTCCGCGATGGCCACAACCTCATCTCCCTGCTGGAGGTCCTCTCGGGGGACAGCCTGGTACGTGTGCCCCTGCCCCTTCCGGGCCCTGCCTGCCCCCACCTGGAGACCTCTGCCTGCCTTCCCTCCTTGGGGCCTCTTCGGCCGCCCACTCTACTGAGAATCCAGCTTAGCCCTTCCTGCCGTCTCCCTGGGGGCAGCCTGGCCTCATCCCTGGCAGTGCCTCCCGCCCAGGCTGCTGGGCATCACAGCCGAGGGCCTGGCCTGGGAGTGGCCGCAACCCTCGGACCTCGGCTGCTCTGGGCCTTGCTGCCCTCCACATCGGGGCCCTGACACAGTAACCTCACGCTCTGCTCTGCTTTGGTTTCTCTGCTGCTTGGACTCTGAACCTTGACCTCTGCCCTTTACCCTTTGCCCTGCTCTGGCTGGGCAGCCGAGGGAGCGGGACGTAAGCAGGAGCTCACGCCTGGTGAGTGGCTGTGCCTGCTGGCCGCAGCGGCACGGGAGCTCCCCAAGACCATGGAGCCCAGCTTTCTGGGGGCTGGCGGCCCATCGGCCGACCCCTGCCTGGCTCTTGGGCGGGCAGGTGGTTGGGTGTCAAGCTGCCTGTCCACCGTGCTGCCCAGAGCTGGCCTGGGACCCACCAGCAGCTGCTGTGGCTGCCGCCGCCGGGCAGGAGGACCCCCCTTAGTGCCACTGCCCTCCACATGAGGCTTCCTGGCTGTTGTCTCCTCCCACCCTTTCCTTCCTTCCCTCAGTCTGGATCGCTGGACTTCCCGAGCCCTGGGCCCCTGGGCCGGTGGCCTCCCTTTCCCTGCGGGGGAGGGTGAACCTGGGATGAGAGGGGCTGCTGCCCCCGGGGAAGACCCTTGGCTTGGTCGCTGCGGTGCTTAGGGGGTGTTGAGGGTGGGGCCTGGGAGCTGCAGCTGCACTGTGGGTGCTGACCGATCCCCCCCACAGCCCCGGGAGAAGGGGAGAATGCGTTTCCACAAGCTGCAGAACGTCCAGATTGCCCTGGACTACCTCCGGCACCGCCAGGTAAGGCTGCCCACCCGGCCCTGGGCCCAGCCAACCCCTCACCAAGCCAGCCCTACCCTGTGGGCCGTGACCGAGAGCCCCTCGCTCACAGGTGAAGCTGGTGAACATCAGGAATGATGACATTGCCGACGGCAACCCCAAGCTGACCCTTGGCCTCATCTGGACAATCATTCTGCACTTCCAGGTAGAACGGCTGCCCCCAGGACCCCACCCACTGCAGGAGTTTGCGGAGTAGCCTGGGCTCCTTGGCTGGCGGGCTGATCCGCTTTCTGGCTGGGTGTGGCCCGGGAGGTGGCTGGCACCATAGGTATGGTGGCGCCTGGGTGCCTTCCTGCCAGCCACAGCCCTGGACTGGATCTGTGGCCTGAGGGTACAGGCCTCTCTCTGAGGCCACCTATCCGTGCCCTCTGGCCCCGGCTGGGCAGGGCCTGGAGCCTCCCTATGGAGGAATGCGGGCCCCGGTGCCTGCCCTGGGGAGGCTTCTGCAGCAGCGCAGGCTGAGTCACCCGCTGCTTGTCCTGGCTGCACAGGAAACCACAAATCTGAGAGCTGAGCAGGCAGAGCCTGGTGCTGGCACGGCAGCTGAGTCACACAGGCTGGCAGGACGACAGGCAGCTAGGGGTGGGTGGGCAGAACCTGGCCTGAGCATGCCACTGAGTGCAAAGCCAGGCTGCCAGAGGCCCCACCTGCCAGCCCGAAACCAGGGATGGAGCTTGAGCCCCAGCCTTTTCCAGGCCTGGGGGTTCTGGGCCAGGTTTAGGGGTGTACTTATGGGCTCCTCTTATGCCCGCTGTCCTTCCACTCTGCTCCATCCCAGCTCCTGGAGGTGCAGGGTGCAGCCTAGCCTCCCCAGTTAGGGGAGTGGGCACCTGCTGTGTGGTGGCAGTGAGGGTTGGGGGTTCTGAGCTGCGTGGTGGTAGATGCCACCGGCTGGAGTGGCTGGACTTGTGGCCCCGAGGCATGGCCAGTCCCAGCAGCTTCCCAACAGGGAAAGGCCCTGGGGCCCAGTGCTGCCCTGGCTAGCTTGGTGGCCCCACACACTCCCCTGGGTGCCGAGCTGCCCCTGCCCCTGTGCATGTGGCTGTGGGCACAGGGCAGGCCTGACAGCTGTGGCTGAGCTGTGGCCTCCTATCCGCTGTGGGCAGATCTCAGACATCCAGGTGAGCGGGCAGTCGGAGGATATGACGGCCAAGGAGAAGCTGCTGCTGTGGTCACAGCGCATGGTGGAAGGGTACCAGGGCCTGCGATGTGACAACTTCACCTCCAGCTGGAGAGACGGCCGCCTCTTCAACGCCATCATCCACCGTCACAAGTACTTGGCCCCGGGGGCAGGGGGCTGGGGGCTGGGGGCACCCCCACAGTGCCTCCGCTAGGCAACTTCAGACACGTCGGGGCAGGGAGGAGGGCAGGAGGAACAGGGATGAGTGCCAGCTGGCCGCCTCAGGGTGGTGGAGTTCAGGGCCCGGCCCTACCCTGGTGCCCTTCAGAAGCACCACCGCTTCCTCGAGGCTGGAGGGCCTGCAGGCTGCTAGTCCTCACAGCCAGGAGCATGTGCCCGCTATGGACGCCTCCGGAGGGGCCTGGTGGGCAGGGTGGCTGCAGGGAGCCTCAGCTGCCTGGCACTCTCCGCTCTGCACAGCCCTCTGTGCTGTGCCCTGGGCTCCTGGGCATGGGGGTGGCAGGGCGCTTTCAGCTCTGCCCGTGTGGCAACGCACCTTTCAGGGTGAGTGTGGGGCGGGGTCCACGGTTGCTGGGATGTGTGAGGAGCAAGCCTGTGCGCCCGCCTGTGTGGTGTGGCCGCTGGTCTTGTCCCACCCACCTGACCAGCCACCTGCTTGTCCCAGGCCCATGCTCATCGACATGAACAAGGTGTACCGGCAGACCAATCTGGAGAACCTGGACCAGGCTTTCTCTGTGGCGGAGCGGGACCTGGGAGTGACACGGCTCCTGGACCCTGAGGGTACGTCTGTGTGGCCCTCCTCCCTGCCCCTTCCCCTGCTGCCTGCCCCAGAGCCCCCGCTGAGCTGCCCTTCCCTGCAGATGTGGACGTCCCTCAGCCCGACGAGAAGTCCATCATCACCTACGTCTCGTCGCTGTATGACGCCATGCCCCGTGTGCCAGACGTGCAGGATGGGGTGAGGGCCAACGTGAGTGGGGGGCCTGGAGGGCAGGGGGCTTGGGCCTGGACGCACCGATGGCCCCTGACAGCCATCCGTGCCTGCCTGTGCCTGCTGGCAGGAGCTGCAGCTGCGCTGGCAGGAGTACCGGGAGCTGGTGCTGCTGCTGCTGCAGTGGATACGACACCACACCGCTGCCTTTGAGGAACGCAGGTTCCCCTCCAGCTTCGAGGAGATTGAGGTGGGCCTGCCGTGTGGGGTGGGGTCCTGGGCCTGCCCTGAGGGCTGGGCATGGCTGCCGACACCCTCATCCCCCGGCAGATCCTGTGGTCTCAGTTCTTGAAGTTTAAAGAGATGGAGCTTCCAGCCAAGGAGGCCGACAAGAACCGGTCCAAGGGCATCTACCAATCCCTGGAGGTGCGTGGGACCACCGGAGGCGTGGGTGGTGTCCTGGACCACCAGTGGTGTCCTAGAGGCTCTTCCAGAGCCCGACCTGGCCCTGCCTTTGGGACCAGGGCTGTCCCGGGTCTGGTGGGCTGGGGTCTGAGGGCCCAGCGCCCCATCCCCTGCCCCCTGCATATAGGGCCTGAGCTTGGCCCCTGTCCACAGGGAGCGGTGCAAGCAGGCCAGCTCAAGGTGCCCCCTGGCTACCACCCGCTGGACGTGGAGAAAGAGTGGGGCAAGCTGCACGTGGCCATCCTGGAGCGGGAGAAGCAGCTCCGCAGCGAGTTTGAGAGGTGGGTGGGGCCCTGTGGTGGCAGGGGAACCACCCGAGGGTGAGTCACTGCCTGGGGAGGAAACCCCCGCCCGCCCGCCCCCGGCGGGGGAACCCGAGCTCCCACTGGCCTTAGGACAGTGGACCACAGGCAGGGAGGCCAGAGCAGGAGGCGAGCTACAGTCTGTGCCCAGGGCTGTGCCGGACCCGGCCAACGCAGCCCCTTCCCCGTGCTTCTGCCGCAGGCTGGAGTGTCTTCAGCGCATCGTGACCAAGCTGCAGATGGAGGCGGGGCTGTGTGAGGAGCAGCTGAACCAGGCCGACACCCTGCTGCAGTCGGTGAGGGGTGTGGGGCAGGCAGCACGGGAGGGAGGCCAGAGGAGCCTGCCCCGCCCTGCAGCCGGAAAGCCAGAGGGGGCTGTCTGCCTGGGCTCCTGGGGCAGGGGCAGGGGCGGGGCATGCGGTGGGGAGTCCAGCCCTGAGCTCCTCCCTCTGCAGCCAACTCTCACAGTGCAGCCAACTCTCACAGCCAACTCTCACAGCCTGCTTTGGGCAGAGTTGGTTTCTGGTCACCGGGCAGAACCCAGGGTGGCTGCCTTGCCCCCATCAGGCCCCCTCCCCTACAGCGGTTTACTGTTAGGGGCGGGGTGAAGGGAGGGGTGAGGGGAGGGGTGAGGGGAGGGCCCAACCCACGCTGCTTGCCCAGGAGGACAGGGCCACACAGCGTTACAGGAGGAGTTACGTGGGGTGGGTAGTGGAGGATGAGGCCCAGGACCCCACGGACGTGGTCATGGGGGTATTGGTTCTTGGACTGGGCAGAATTACTCTGGACTTGGTCCCAATCCCCCAGAAGGCCGGCAGGAAGATGTGTGAGGTGGGCAGGGAGGGAAGGAGAAGGATGGGGACGGGGGCAGGGCCCACTGAGGCTGAGGAAGCGGGTGAGGGTGGCCGTCTTGGCCGGGGCCCCAGTGAGGTCAGAGGGGGATCAGTTGTGCTCCGAGTCACGACAACGACCTTGCAGGATGTCCGGCTGCTGGCCGCAGGCAAAGTGCCGCAGCGGGCAGGGGAGGTGGAACGGGACCTGGACAAAGCGGATAGCATGATCCGGCTGCTGTTCAATGACGTGCAGACCCTCAAGGATGGACGGCACCCGCAGGGCGAGCAGATGTACCGCAGGTGGGCCCCGCCCTGCCCTCCCTGATGCCCAGGTCCACACAGCCCCAGGCCTGCCAACACCTACCTGAGTCCTCTGCTGCCCCAGGGTATACCGTCTGCACGAGCGCCTGGTAGCCATCCGCACCGAGTACAACCTCCGGCTGAAGGCGGGCGTGGCGGCCCCTGCAACCCAGGTGACCCAGGTGACTCTGCAGAGTGTGCAGAGGCGCCCTGAGCTGGAGGACTCCACTCTGCGCTACCTGCAGGACCTGCTGGCGTGGGTAGAGGAGAACCAGCACCGTGTGGATGGCGCTGAGTGGGGTGTGGACCTGCCCAGCGTGGAGGCGCAGCTGGGCAGCCACCGAGGCCTGCACCAGTCCATCGAAGAATTCCGGGCCAAGATTGAGCGGGCACGGAGTGATGAGGTGGGTGGCACTGAGCGATGGGCAGCGGAGGGGGTGGGCCGGGCCCAGCCACTGCAGGCCTCACCATCCCATCTGTTGCAGGGCCAGCTCTCCCCTGCCACCCGGGGTGCCTACCGTGACTGCCTGGGTCGGCTGGACCTGCAGTACGCCAAGCTGCTGGTGAGTGGGGGCAGGGCCAGCTGGGGGAGGTGGGTAGTCCGTGGCCTGCTGACACGCATCCTCCTGCCCACAGAATTCCTCCAAGGCCCGCCTTAGGTCCCTGGAGAGCTTGCACAGCTTTGTGGCAGCCGCCACTAAGGAGCTAATGTGGCTAAATGAAAAGGAGGAGGAGGAAGTGGGCTTCGACTGGAGCGACCGCAACACCAACATGACCGCCAAGAAGGAGAGCTACTCGGTGAGGGGTGGCCCAGCGCCCCTGAACCCCACAGTCCCCTCCCCGCTGTGCCCTGGCTGTCCCCTGTAGTCAGAGACCAGTGGGGGCCCTGGGTCGAGTTTGCTGGGAGCTTGGCAAAGCTGGATGTGGCCGGCCAGCCCTGAGACCCTTCGCCCTGGTGCCAGGCCCTGATGCGGGAGCTGGAGCTGAAGGAGAAGAAGATCAAGGAGCTCCAGAGTGCTGGGGACCGGCTGCTGCGGGAGGACCACCCGGCCCGGCCCACGGTGGAGGTGGGGCTGAGGGAGCCACCCAGGACTCCCTGGGCAGGGGCGGGGCTGCAGAGGGGGCCATGCTGGGCCCCCAGGTGGGGCAGGGCAGGGCAGGGACTGACAAGGACCTGCTGCCCTGTAGTCCTTCCAGGCGGCCCTGCAGACGCAGTGGAGCTGGATGTTGCAGCTGTGCTGCTGCATCGAGGCACACCTGAAGGAGAACGCTGCCTACTTTCAGGTGAGAACTGGAGCTCCCCTCCCCACTGTGGCTCAGTGGCGCCTTGGAGGAGCCCCTAGACCCCCTCAGCAGCTCCAATCAGGAACCCTCCTATCTGTTGCCAGCTGCTACCTGCAGCCTGACCAGGGCCTTAGACAGGGATGCTCCCCAGGCCTCGTGGGGGCTTTGCCACTCCGTCCTCAGTGCCCCCGTCTTGGGCCTGCCCTGGGAGAGCTGTGGGCTAGGGCTCTGGTCCCATGTAGCCCAGCGTGACCCCCTCCCACTGCCCCAGTTCTTCTCAGATGTGCGGGAGGCCGAGGGGCAGTTGCAGAAGCTGCAGGAGGCGCTGCGTAGGAAGTACAGCTGTGATCGCTCCGCCACCGTCACCCGGCTGGAGGACCTGCTGCAGGATGCCCAGGTGAGGGAAGGGGTGTGCAGGGGCGTGTTGGGAGAGGCTGGTCTGGAGTCTGGGCTGCATGGATACCCTGGAGACTGGGGCGGGGGGAGCAACTGGAGGGGCCAGCAGGGGTTGGGAGGCACCATGGGGGGTGTAGAGGTCAGCTGACGGGGGAGTGAGGCAGGGTGTGGGGAGCCAAGAGGCAGCCGGTCTGAGCCGGGCCACCCCCATCTCCACAGCCACAGAGCTAGTAGAAGCCTGAAGTCAGCAGCTATTGCCACCCCTTGTACTGTAGAAGGGGCACCAGCTGTTTGGCCTGAGATCTGGAGTGGGCAGAGTGGAGCTGGGCTTCGTGCTCTCGGGGCAGGAGTGGGATCACCCAGGAGGGTGGGGGCACAGTGGGGAGTGACAGGGAAAAGGGATTGGAGGCTGGAATGGCCTCAGATCGGCAGGGCTGGGCCTGGGGAGAGCCAGAAGCTCCTCCCAGGTACATCCTACAGCCTGGCCTCCGCAGAGGGGTGGGATGGGAGGAGGCAGTGACCTTCTGCAGCCCGCAGGGGAGGGGCAAGGGGCGAGGGCATTGTAGGGGCCAGAGCGTAGCTGCGGACATGGTGGGTGAGCTGGGGTGAGAGGAGGGTGCCCTATCTGGGTTGGGAAGGAGCGAGGGCGCATGGGTCTGCTTGGGGCCAACCCCCAGGGCCCGTCCCAGCTACACGTCCTGCTTTCAAGTGCCGCCAGCCCGGGAGTATCAGGAGGGCCCCACAGGCCTGGTCCAGGGTCTGGGGGTGCCTGGGGCAGGCCTGTGGGTCTCCATGGCCTTGTCTAGATGCTGCCCCTCCCCCACAGGACGAAAAGGAACAGCTGAACGAGTACAAGGGGCACCTCTCGGGCCTGGCCAAGCGGGCCAAGGCCATCGTGCAGCTGAAGCCCCGCCACCCAGCCCACCCCATGCGGAGCCGCCTGCCCCTGCTGGCCGTGTGCGACTATAAGCAGGTGGAGGTGAGGGCAGGCCCAGGCTCCACCGGGGGGCGTGACCAGGCAGGGCACGGTGTGGCCGTGTCCTCACCAACTCCACCCATTCCAGGTAACCGTGCACAAGGGTGACGAGTGCCAGCTGGTGGGCCCTGCGCAGCCGTCCCACTGGAAGGTGCTCAGCAGCTCCGGCAGCGAGGCCGCCGTGCCCTCCGTGTGCTTCCTGGTGCCCCCGCCCAACCAGGAGGCCCAGGAGGCTGTCACCAGGTGGATGGCAGGGGCTCAGCAGGTGGGGGGTGGACGGCGGGTGGGACGCTGGTGATGCTGACTGTAGCCCTGACCTGCCAGGTTGGAGGCCCAGCACCAGGCCCTGGTCACGCTGTGGCACCAGTTGCACGTGGACATGAAGAGCCTTCTGGCCTGGCAGAGCCTTCGCCGTGACGTGCAGCTCATCCGCTCCTGGTCCCTGGCCACGGTACGCCTGCCCCCCGGCCAGGGGCTCTCCGGGTGGGAGGAGGGGAGGGGAATTCTGCAGGGCACAGCCGCCTCGCCCGGCACCTAGCCCCACGTGCTTCCCCCAGTTCCGCACCCTGAAGCCAGAGGAGCAGCGCCAAGCCCTGCACAGCCTGGAGCTGCACTACCAGGCCTTCCTGCGGGACAGCCAGGACGCAGGCGGCTTTGGGCCCGAGGACCGGCTGATGGCCGAGCGCGAGTACGGCTCCTGCAGCCACCACTACCAGCAGCTACTGCAGAGCCTGGAGCAGGGTAGGGCATGGCAGGGCTGGGGTGGTTGGGCTGGTGCGAGGTGGGCAGTGGAGTGACCCGGATGTGTTCCCCAGGTGCACAGGAAGAGTCTCGCTGCCAGCGCTGCATCTCTGAGCTCAAAGACATCCGGCTGCAGCTGGAGGCCTGTGAGACGCGCACCGTGCACCGCCTGCGGCTGCCGCTGGACAAAGAGCCGGCCCGGGAGTGTGCGCAGCGCATCGCTGAGCAGCAGGCAGGGGTTGTCCCCACCCTGTCCAGTCCCATCCCTCTCCCCAGCCCTCTCCCCACCCTCCCTCCTTCGGCCCTCAAGGGGCGCTGTGTGCTGCGCCCGGTGGTAAGTGCATTCCCACTCCTGTCTTTGCAGAAGGCGCAGGCGGAGGTGGAGGGACTGGGTAAAGGGGTCGCCCGGCTCTCCGCCGAGGCCGAGAAGGTCCTGGCCCTGCCAGAGCCATCACCTGCGGCCCCCACGCTGCGCTCGGAGCTGGAGCTGACGCTGGGCAAGCTGGAGCAGGTCCGCAGCCTGTCTGCCATCTACCTGGAGAAGTGAGTGCACCTGGCCACAGGCGAGGCGCTCGGGTGGGCTGGGAGGTGCTGGCCAGGAGGAGGGAGGCCCAGGCTGGGGTGGCGGCCGCAGAGGTGGTGAGAAGAGTTCAGGGCTGCGTGCTCTTCTACAGTGGTGGCCGGGGGACTTCCTGGTGATGAGATTTGGGTGTGGGGAAGAGAGAGTGGAGCTGGGTGGTGGCTGCTGAGTGAGGTGGGGAGGCTATGGATCTACTTTCAGTGGCGTAGTAAGGAATTCTGCACCCTGCCTCCTGTCTGTCCTGTTCCTGGCCTGGACTTAACGGCCTCTGGCATTTACTTCCAATGGGTTACGTCATAGTCTCTTCCTGTGTTGCAAACCACATGTCCGGCCCCATCTACTCTTCACAAAACCAACACAGCGATAGGGCCGCCACTGTCTGCCACAGGGTGCCATTTCCACCCTAGTGTCCCCTTTACCCGGTCTTGGGCTGCAAGGGCTGAGAACTATGCTTTCAGGCCCTGTGGGCACCAGGACACCGCTGTCATCCAGCCAGTGGGCTCTTCCTGTCTCAGGGCCTTGGGGTCTGCCGTTCCTGGCTGGCACACCCCCTCTTCCCTCTTCAGGCTGGGGCCTGAGTGTTCTTGTGTTGCAGAGGCTCCCAGCTTCCTTCTCCCCAAGTCTGTTCTCCCTGAAGCAAGCCTGTGACCACAGGGTCAGCCGACCCCCAGGGTTGGGTCTGGGCTTGGCAGGCAGCACCTTGGGTCGCTGTGGCTCGGGTTCCATCCCCTTGGGCTGTTGCTCGAGCCCCATGTCCTGGCCCTGAGCCGTGCTTTCCCACCAGGCTCAAGACCATCAGCCTGGTGATCCACAGCACGCAGGGAGCCGAGGAGGTGCTCAGGGCCCATGAGGAGCAGCTCAAAGAGGCCCAGGCCGTGCCGGCCACCCTCCCAGAGCTCGAGGCCACCAAGGCCTCTCTGAAGGTACTGTTTCCGGGCTTGGACCTCATAGTGGGGTGGGGGTACAGCGGGCCCAGCTGAAACTGCACAAGCCCCTCCTGTCCCCAACAGAAGCTGCGGTCCCAGGCTGAGGCACAGCAGCCCGTGTTTGACGCCCTGCGGGATGAGCTGCGGGGGGCGCAGGAGGTGGGGGAGCGACTGCAGCAGCGGCACGGGGAGCGGGACGTGGAGGTGGAGCGCTGGCGGGAGCGGGTCGCCCAGCTGCTTGAGCGCTGGCAGGCTGTGTTGGCCCAGACCGATGTGCGGCAGCGTGAGCTCGAGCAACTGGGCCGCCAGCTGCGTTACTACCGCGAGAGCGCAGACCCCCTGGGCGCCTGGCTGCAGGATGCCAGGCAGCGGCAGGAGCAGATTCAGGCCGTGCCTCTGGCCAACAGCCAGGCTGTGCGGGAGCAGCTGCGGCAGGAGAAGGTGGGCCTGGGTCGGTGGGGACGGGGCGGCTGGGCGTGCCCTGCGGCCGCTGCTCTAACCGCACCGTCCCCCAGGCCCTTCTGGAGGAGATCGAGCGCCATGGCGAGAAGGTCGAGGAGTGCCAGAGGTTTGCGAAACAGTACATCAACGCCATCAAGGTAAGGCCCCGCCGCCTGCGCCAGGCCCCAAGTCCGGGACTGTTGCCGGGGCAGCGGGCTTTTCCTGAGCCTGGGCCATGCAAGGGAAAGCCTGTGTGAGGGTTTGGGGGCTGGGCAGGGGTCACCAGAGGGCAGAGCTGGTGGCTGACCACAGTGCATTCCCACAGGACTATGAACTCCAGCTGGTCACATACAAGGCGCAGCTTGAGCCGGTGGCCTCCCCGGCCAAGAAGCCCAAGGTCCAGTCCGGATCAGAGAGTGTCATCCAGGAGGTAGGGCGGGGCTGAGCCTAGCCGACGAGGAGCTGGCGGGCCTCGAGTTGTGGCTCTTGCAGGGCTAACCCTGGCTGTACCCCACAGTATGTGGACCTGCGTACGCGCTACAGTGAGCTGACCACACTCACGAGCCAGTACATCAAGTTCATCAGTGAGACTCTGCGTCGCATGGAGGAGGAGGAGGTAGAGCCCACTGGGCAGAGGCTGGGCGGAGGGGTCTATCTCACCACCTGTTGCGGCCCACGCACAGCCAGAGGAGCTGCCTGAGGCCACTTCTCATGGCCCTCCCCACTCTCCCCGCTGGCGCTGCCAGCACCCTCTGCCCCCAGCTCAGCCTGCCCACCTGTGGCCTGCCCCCTGGCCTGGCGCGGCTACACTGCTCCCCCACAGTGGCTGGCGCCGCCTCTCCTCCCTCGTGAGCGTCCCCTCTGCAGTCCTCTCTGCAGCCTCCTGTGTGCTCTACCTTGGCGTTCTGCGTTGGCCTCTCCGCTCAACCCTTTGCTGCCAGAAGTCGGGGGTGTTGGGTTGTGGGGCTAGGGAGGGGTCTTCCAAGGCACCCACCTGTTGGCTTCTCCTTACTTTCTGCGTGGCCCTGAATCCTCTTCCGAGCTGGCTCGGGTCTGCCCTGCTGTCTCCACGCTGGCCGCCTCGCCTCACCCCGCCCCACCCAGGCTTCCCACCCTGGTTGGGGAGAGGGGTCCAGTGGTGGGAGCCGGGTCCAGTGGTGGGAGCCAGGCCCCTGGTGTCCAGCAGAGCTCAGGCAGGGCTGCGTGCTGGGCGTGGCTCGCAGGTTCCGAGCTCGTGCTTTGCTCTCTCTCTCCCCGTCCGTCTGTCTCCGTCGCCTGTCTGCGGGAAGAGGGGAGGACGCCTGGGCCTCCTTCCCCAGGCTGGTGAGCACAGTGGGGCCGGCTGCGATCGCTGCCCGAGTGCCCTGGGCGGGTGCACGCTGTCTCCTCCGCCGGGCTGGGGCCTCTGTCTTCCCCGACCCCTGCTCCGCGCTGTCTTAGTGAACTGTGCTGGTGCGTGCCCTGTGAGCGCTGGTGCCTGCCCGTGTTCACACTCTCTCTGCTTCTCTTCTTCTCTCTGCTGTGGCCGCAGAGGCTGGCTGAGCAGCAGCGGGCAGAGGAGCGCGAGCGGCTGGCCGAGGTGGAGGCTGCGCTGGAGAA